AAATCTTTGGGTGAGGTGAAGAGCATTGTCTATAGATTCCATGATTTTGTGGTACTTTGGACCATTAACTTCAGAAGCCAAAGAAAAAATGTGTATTTTAAGGAGCTCGAGAAAGATCCTGTATGCAGCAGGTTGGCTTCTTCTATTCGGGATTACACTGTTGGAAAGAAGCGTGAGAACGAGCATTGGTGGAGCGATTCTAAGAGTTGGCGTTTTTTTTTCGAGATATTTCCAAGCAATTGGGAGATTATTAGAACAACAAATATGAGAAACGAGCATCTCGGCGACCTCCGTCGACGGCATGGTGATTCCGTCATTTCCATCAACCCTTCCCTGAGACTCAAGTTCATCGTCGGCGTAGCAGTCAAGTTGTTTCAGTATTCGTTTGCATCCCAAATTATCAAAATAGACGTTGCCATTCTTCACATTCCAAAGACTTTCTTCACATTTTGATATGGAGGTTGGTGAAAAATCATGGGCCCTAGTATTGAAATCAAAATCAAGTAAAAGTAACTTTGAAATTTGCATACCCTGAATAAATTTCCAGCTCCGATACGATTTAAAACCCCTTGTAACATCACCTTAGTAATACTCATGCCTATTTCATTTGGCTTCCCACGAAATAAACTTTCATTTTGACATATTTTATTTCTTGAGAGGCTACCTTTTCTGAAATTAGCTGCAACATTAATATATACCTGGACCAAAATACGCCTTAGTGAAATGCATCTCCATATTGGCAAATGAATGATCGATGTCTTGAAGTAGCGTGTGTCACGAGCATTAGTGAGATAATCATCTTGAATTCAGCTGCTGAGCATGCAAGTTAACTTGAAGCTGACTAACCTTTCGTTTGTACACATATGAGGTAATAGCGGTTTCCTGCAAATGGCAAAGTGGAGAATAGAGTTGATGCAGGTGGATTGAGAGTGGAGAGGGAATTAGCGTGAGAGTTAATCAGAAACCACATCAGCGTGAGAGACTATGAGCGAGTCAAGTTGCATTTGAACCCATCTGTTGCACAACTTTGAATTACCCATAACGCCCTTGACCGTCACACCAACGAACTCCATACAACCTTTTTTTTATTGATAAACTAAAAATGAATTAAAGCTACTGAAAAACTTAAAAGATTTACAACAATAATTTACATCACATCTTTCTTTAATGAAAGAGACAACTAATATGGACTTTTAAAAGTTCTGACTCTCCCACAATTAACAAGCAGCTTTAGGAACCCATTTGAGATTGGATTTAGAAACATACCTTTCTTCTTTAGAATGCCATTGATTAGATGAAGAGATGTGAGCTCCAGGATTATGAACTCCTGTTTTATTTTTTTGACATTCTTCAACATACTTTCCAAGACGTTTCATATTCCATTTCTGTCGTCTGAGTTCTTTACATGGATTTGTTTCAGGTTGTGAAGATTTTTCATGATAACTCAAACTTGTTTCAACTTTCTTGGTTCATGAGATGGTTTCTTTGGAACCCATACCTTCTTTGTCTTTTTCCTTTTGTTTTTGGCCCTATAAGAAATATTATTTAACAAGAACACACATAAGGAATCTTACCAGCTTGAGCTCTTCTGATGTTTGGAGATAGAGCTTGAGTCTTGACAGGACGAGTTGGAAACTTCACAGCTTGAGATAACTTGAGAGTTTCAAAAGTCTTGTCAGCTTGAACAAAATTATCAGTGTGAACTGATTTGTCCGAGTGAAAAACTTTGTCAGGGCAAGCTAATTTAGCAGTATGAGGCTTATCATCGTGAGCCTTGTTAGAGAAAGAGTTGTTGTGATGTTTATCAAGGAGAAAACTAGGGCATCTTGAAAACGAGTTTTCATCAGGCATTTCATCTTTTTGAACACAAATAGATGAAATATTTTTCTTCTGAACATCATTTTCTTTAATCCTCTCCTTCATATCTCCTTCTCCCTTTTAATCAGAAAATTTGTGAACACTTCAATATCTTCTTGTTTCTGATTGATGACTTTGTCTTTCAGATCCAATTCAATAATGAAGAACAAAGATAGAGGTGCCTTTGGATCATACATCAGATCAGGATAACATGATAACAGACTTGCATCAACTGCCCTTTTATTTTTTGAACTTTTCTTGTATTCTTCTTCATCAAGAACATTTGTATCTTTGTTGATCCTTCCATGTAGAAATTCTTCTCTCATCTGAGAAACATTATATGGACCAAACATACTAGATACAGTTAGATAATACCAAAGATAAGGAAAGCTACCATACTCTCTCTTGTGAATGTCTGAAATGCTCTTTATATCTGGACTATTATATAAGATATATTCTTCTTCTTCTTCTTCTTCTTCTGATTTTCGAGTTTCTGAATAGTGATGAACTTCTGAATCTTCAACAGATCCTAGAACAAATGTTCTAGCCTACTCTGATACCAATTGAAAGTTGCAAACCCTTTATAGATTCGTAGGTAAAATATTAAACAAGAAATAACAAGTAACAATGAAGAACAAAAAAAATAAAGAACATAAGAGATTCTCCAAATTTTTCTTTCACCAAGAAAGAGTTTTTGTCTTCACCAAAAAGATGGGTTGTCACAAAGATGGTTACAACACCAAGCCGTTTACAGACGCTCTCACACCATTAGAGTTTGTCGTAATGTTGATTATATACTAAACTAATCTAGAGAATCCCTGTAATGAATGGATTTTATCTAATCTACATATAAACTAATCTTGTATAAAAGGAATGTATCAAATCAGATCTTCTCCAGATTCGAATATCAACACGAACACTTCAGAAGTTGATCAGAGCATCAGCTTCAGCGTCTGGAGATCAGCTTCAGCTTCAGTCATCAGCGCCATGGTCAAGTTGATCAGCTTCAACTTCAGATAGATAGTGAATGACCATCAGCGAGTATCATCAGTGCATCATCTGACCAGTGTGTCATCAGTGTATAACCATCAGCGTCTAGACACACTGAACAGTCTTCAGTAGATGGTGTCTTCATACCTTTGGTGTTGATAGAATCTTCAGGGTCTTTTTGTCATCAGCGGATGTCCTTCAGTCTTCGACATATGAACTTCAATCAACATATCTTCATATTAACTAACTAACCATAAATATATTGTGTATATATATTTTTCATTATCAAATCTATGCAATTGAGTGACCCAACACTACAATCGATCGAAGATAAAAAAACTTATAAGCAGAAGCAATATTATCGGAATAAAAAATTCCTAGTCCAAGAGAAAAAAGAAGATACGAGGCTAACAGTGAAAGACCATTTCTCTTTCCTCAATAATGAATCTTGAAAAGAAATGAAAAATGATTCTTAAAACTAACGAGAGATAAACGATTAAAATTGGTGCAGATAAATGATGCAAGATCAATGAGGAGTAGCGGATTCAACCAGATTTGAGCATCCATATATAAATCTTCAAAAGATGAATAGTAAAAGGGAAACAATTCATGGATAGAAAGAACAATATCAAAAAATATAAGAAACCATCAAAAACTCAAATCCATTGAGTGTGAATAAAATATTCAAATCAGATGAGCACCATAGCTCTGATGCCAATTATAGGATCGCAAAATCTAGATTTGACATAATGTGAAAAAAAATAATCACAAATCAGCAAGATGAGTTTTGGTGCCAAACATGGTAGTTATTTATTGAGAGGAGACGAAGAATATAAAATATTATCCTAGCAATTTACAATGCTCAACTTTCAACTCATAATCACTACCTATTTATGCACACCCCCTCTAATGATATATGATAAATATATATAGGGGTAGCTTCAAGCCTTAAAGGAATCTCCAAACTGAAAAGTCATAACTAAGTCCTCAACTCATCCTCCAATGTAAAACTTTGCACCCGAACAATCCATTGATTGAAACCCACAAGGTTTGAACTTGAGACCTTCCATATGGGGGTACCCAAGCTTTACCCGGTGAGCCACCAATGTGATGGTTAAGATTGTTTAGAAATATAATTTCAGGGATATAAAATATTCATGTCTTGTTAGTTATGATCTAAAGTTCTGGTTTGTGTAGGATAAAGGTGTACACATAAGGATACGAGATATGAAAATAGCATATCATTTATTTATTTATTACTTTGACAACATACATAATATCTAAGTGGATATGAAACTTGCAAGTTCAATATGAAGTCAAACCATCAATGTTTACTTGATTTTTATTTAGAAATAGATAGGATATATAGCAAGATGTTTGCTCCCATTTTATTTTAAAGTCACACTCACAATTGAACATCATCACTTTGAGCCATGATTTCTAGGAGATTCTTCCCTGTAGTTGAAGGCGTTGTTACCATTTCCGCTCCCATCTCCAATTCCAACGCTATTGTTATTACCACTACCATTACCGTTAACGGTTTCGTTCCCGTTTTGTGAAACATTTCCGTTGAGGCCACCATTGTTGCTGCCACTTTTGTTTCCAATATTGTTGCGGCTACCGTTGTTGTTTAGGTTATTTCTGTTATTAGAGACAACAGAGTTTTTTTCAATGTTTAAGTAGTCATTTTTGTTGGCATAGCTTTTGTTTTTGACGTAGATTTTGTTCCCGTAGTTTCCGTAGTTTCCGTTTTGTCCGTTAAGATCATTACAACCAACTTCACCATTCATACATCTTCCTGCTTGTATATTCTTAGTTCTTTCTCCATTATCACCGGCGTTGCTTATTCCAACACCTGCCCCGAACATTTCTCCAATATTTTCCTTGATAGATTCTTTTCTATTATACTCATGTTCTCCTCCACATGTCATGTCTCCCAAGGAACAACCAATCTTACTTGTACCCTCGCCATATGCAAGTGGTAAATTTTCCTTTCCAACAAGCTTTCTACCACGAGCAATGTCAGTTGTGCAAATCAAAAACCCAAAACATATACCAACAAAAAGCTTCATTGCCATCATATAAGTTAATTTTTTTCTAATTTTATATCGATGACTTACGATAATTAATAAAACAATCACATGTATATATAGGGATTTAAATGGGAGAAACATTAAATAAGGTAGTTAATATATAAATGAATAAATAGTTTTACGTCTTGAAATACATATAAATATTACTATGTTATATATTATACCATCTACATAATTTGACAAACCCATCAAACATTTTTCTCTTTGCTTTTCATTTTACTAAAAATGTTAAGTACATTCATGTTATTTTATCGTTGAAATGCCATAATAAAACTAGAAAACCCATCAAAAACTATACCATACTATTTGGGTTTTTATCATTGAAATAACGTAATAAAACTAGAAAACTCATCAAAAACTGTAACATATTATTTGTGTTTCTGAACTTAATCATTTTATTAATTTATTTAAAAATTCATCAATATAGAATTTTTAAAATTTAAGATAACTATGTTATTTTAAAAAGACACCAAGTAGATGAATATTTTTTCTCACTATTGTTTCTTGTTCCTTTTTCATTTAGATATAAAAGGTTTATATGACCTATGTATATATATACTCTTTAACATCTTCTATGCTCTTTCATATCTTCTGGATATATATCATTTTAAAAAAAATGTATATTGTACAACTAGAGGCCGAGAGGTAAATCTTGTACCATTAACAATATTTTCTATGTTCTAGTATTTGAATCCTTAAGGCTTTTTTTTTATTTATTTTTTATTTTTTATTTATTTATTTTCATCTCAATCTCTAGGCTCCTATCATAGGGGCATGTATAACGTCATGTTTTGAAATGACTTTTTGGATATCGGATATAGGATGTAATATGAATGATTTAAATATTCAAATATGTGAAATGTATTAAGGATTTAATATTAAATTGGTTTGAGTAAAGAAGTTAAGCGGAATGAACAAAAAGATAAGTGTTTTCACATTTTATGTGAAACACGACGCGACAATGACAAGGGTTACGATGCGATGAATGAAAAATGTGTCACGACACGAACATGAATAACATGACGCGTGAGGCTAGATTTTGTTTATGTAAAAATGAATAGTGGAAATAACGTACTTGAGATGATCGTGGCGCGATTGTGTGAGACGCAACGTGTTTTGAAATTTGTTGTTATGAGTTTTTGTGACAAGTCTTTTGTGACAGATAGTAAATTGTCCAGAAAAGTGTAGAGTCCTAATGGAAGGGAAGAAAACGTGACACGATTGGTCGTGATGCGTCCACTATGAAGTCGTGACTCAAAGTTGCCTACAATGAAAAAGTAAAAAGGTTTAGTTCGTTCATTTAATACAACATATCATCCAAAAACACAGTAAGAAGGCAGAGGTGCAGACTCGGGTGAAATCTGAGCTAAATCACTGATAGTTTAGGATGAATCAAAAGGTATTGTACCATAACATCACCTATACACATGGATTGAAGTTAAGGAGCTTCATCTTTGACATCTAAATTAAATTTGAAAAAATTAGGATGAGGGTTAAGAACCCTAATACAAAATTATGGTGCATATGTTAGGATATGAAGTATTATAAGCTAGTTACGATTCTATGTGACTTAATTACATTCTTTTGATGCTAAATTTTTGTTTTAATTCTTAAATTATAATGTGGGTCATGACAAAACCTAATCATAGAATTTATGAAATAAATATATAAATGGTATGTCTTAATAATTTAAGACATATGGATGGTAAATTCATGAAGTATATTTGACTTGGTGTGGAAATTCTGAAAAAATATGATTTATCATGAAAAGATCATGTGTTTGGAATAAATTACTTGGAAGGTAATTTAAATGGAGTAATATCATCTCAAATGTGTTTTAATGTGTTGAGGCAAGCATGTTTCACTAATCTATGAGATATAAGTTAATTTGAGTATGATAGGATGTTATGTCTTAATGAGCTCTAAGTCATTTCTATGTAAAATATGAATTGTACTTTAATTATAAGATCTTTAGAGTTTTCATTATTATTACAATGTCGGAGGACAAGATGAAGGATAAAAGATCAGGTGTTGAGACTTCTAACAATCATATAACAATAAGGTGTGTGAAATTATTAGGCATGGTAGTCTTGGTGAGTATAATACGAATTGACTAAAACTCATGGTAGCTTTGGTAGTAGTAATACCACAAGTTTGAGTATGTACGGATATTAGATTTGAAAGGCATGCTATATTATTTTGGTAGTTATGGTTTTGGATTACAATTATAAACTGTATGTAGGAAGTTTTCTTCATTAATTTCGTTTTGGTTTAATCTTCTCGAAACATCACCCCAAAACCAAAACAAAACTTGGAGACAGATTAACCACATGCGAAAGTCAACATAAGTATTTTGACCATAGTTTCGTTTGAATAAGTTCCGGTGCATCTTCGCACGTCATACCAAGCTTGAAAATATGCGAAAGAAACTCATTAATATCCATTATTGTTTGACCATATAATTTGATTGATCAATTCAGAAGCCTCCAAATGAACGAAAATAGGAGAACATATAATCGCATCACATGAAAGTTAACATCATAACGAAACTCAAATCCTCCGCACATTTTTTACTTAGAAAAAGAAACTCATCATTTAGTCGTCCTTCATCATCATCATTTAGATTCTTCATCTTCACGGAAAACCATGGAAATCTTGTTTTGGTCTATCTACTTCTCATACGAATTTTGTAGAAATTATCAAGCGAGAATTCCATCTTCATCCATAGAAACATCTGATAAACCAATCAAATTCAATTTCAAATCGAGCATATATTCATCGCGTCAAACATCTGATAAACCAATCAAATTAAATTTTAAATAGAGGTTATATTCATTGAGTGAATCTACCCTTGGAATCATACAGCTAGCACCAGATAACTTCCAAGCAAATCAAATAGGGCATTCATACCTACAACGATGTTCTAAAAACGCTCAAAAGGAGCATTAATGAAATTCAACATCCAGATTGTTTCTATCACAAAAAATGACAACAACTTATAGGTCCAATAAACAAGATTTACACCATAATAAGAACAAGTTGAAGAATAGATTTAAGCAGAGAGTTTGAATGAAGAACACGATGGGATGACATGAACACTAAAATCTCTGATCGAAAGATATTTAATCCAAGAACTACATGAAAGTCCCAAACCCTTTGTAGATTCGTAGGTCAAATATTAAACGAGAAAGAACAATCAAGAACAATGAAGAACAGAAAAAGTAAACAACATAAGAGATTCTCCAAATTGTTCTTTCACCGAGCCGTTTACAAGATGCTGTCACACCATTAGGGTTTGCCGTGATGTTGGTTATATACTAAATTAATTTAGAGAATTCTTTAGTAAAGGGTTTGTATCTAATCTACATATAAACTAATCTGGTATAAAAGGAATGTATCAAATCTGATCTTCTCCAAATTCAGATATCAGCACCAACACTTCAGAAGCTGATCAGAGCATCAACTTTAGCGTCTGGAGATCAGCTTCAGCTTCAGTCATTAGCGTCAGGGTCAAGCTGATTAGCTTCATCTTCGGATATTGAATGACCATCAGTGAGTATCATTAGTGTATCATCTGATCAGTGTGTCATCAGTGTATAACCATCAACATTTGGACACACTGATTAGAGTATTCAACAGATGGTGTCTTCATGCCTTTGGTGCTGATAGAGTCTTCAGGGTCTTTCAGTCATCAGGGGATGTTCTTCAGTCTTTGACGTATGAACTTCGATCATCATATCTTCATATTAACTAACTGACTAACCATAATAGTGTATATATTTTGCATCATCAAATATATACAATTGAGTGACCCAATACTACAATCGATCAACGATAAAAAAAACTTATAAGTAGAAGCGATATTATCGGAAGAAAAAATTCCTAGTCCAAGACAAAAAGAGAAGATACGAGGCTAACAGTGAAAGACCATTTCTCTTTCCTCAATAATAAATCTTGAAAAGGAATGAAAAATGATTCTTAAAACTAATGAGAGATAAACGATTAAAATAGGAGCATATAAATGATACAGGATCAATGAGGAGTAGTGGATTCAACCAGATTTGAGCATGCATATATAAATCTTCAAAAGATGAATAGTAAAAGTGTCACACCCCCAAACCAGAATGGCGGAAACGTTCGGGGGTGGATGACGTCATGTGCAGTATCACAAAAATTGTATTATAGTAACCAAAGAAACAACAACCATTGTATTGATAATATATAATTTACATTGTGTTCAAAACATTGTTTACTTAATATCAAAATTATAACAAAAGCTAAGACGTGATGCTACTATGCTCCGTCTTCGTAACGCCTGTGAGGGTACCTGTCTACTAACTTCTTGAGAATACAAGTGTTTTGAGAAAGTGTCAACATTTAAGTTGGTGAGTTCATAAGCATTTTATGTGAAATGGTATGTTATTTATTCTTTGAAAATGCCAGTGTGTTCCTCCAGAAAATCCAATATTTTCTTTAGTAAAATGATATTTAGCCTTAGTACCTTTAAACCCAAAAAGTATAAGTTTCTTATGTTTATAGTTCGTAATGCGAAGTTATAATTTATGTAAATGGTGTGACCAGTACTGTTACCTCCTATGATTGCTTAATGTATACTAGTTATATATATAATCAAGATCGACCGGACAGTCGAATTGGTGATTCTGCCCTAAGCCTACAACCAAACAAGGCACAGGAAGTAAGGCTGAAATCACACATTCCACTGCCTATCGGATCTTCATTGTATATATAAATCTAACATATTCACTAGGTAATCATAGATTTAGCAATAAGGGTCCTCGATATATGTTTTCCTGAACATCTATTCGTACCATATTAGTAAGTAGTATAATGTATTACTTTTAGTGTAACTGTGTGTAATTCTAGAAATCTCGAAGCTTCCTTCTATAATTCCTTAGTGTATACAACTTATATAAAATCAAGGTTCAATAGGCCGTCGAATGTAATGGGTCTGCCCTAAGCACATAACC